GGAAATGAATAGTCTTTTATACCCAATTCAACATTATTTTTTGGAGAAGAAAAACTACAATATAAAAAATGGAAGATATTACTTTTTTTAATTATTTCGTCGAGATTTCTAACCGTTATAAAATAATCTGATAATTATAAATCGAAATGGTTTCGGGGTAGTAACAGTTCTCATATTTATTGAGCAAATTTGACTGTTTGGTTAACCACAGGGCCAACGATGAAGTCAAGTCAAAATATGAAGGTGGCAAAATCGAATCCGTCTAGAAATGCTCAACGGTCACGCGCCAGACACGCGCAAACCTATGTGACATATGTACAGCTGTCTTAGATAATTGGATGGCGAAATTTCTAAGATGAAACAAACAAATGTCTTTATTAGATTTCGTATTCAATAATTCAGTTTTTCGCATAAAATTCAATTTATGTTCTTCACACTTGATGAACAAATTCTCAGTTATTGAATTTTTTTAATACTATTGGATTAAGTAAAATAATTACACGTAGGTTATTATCTGATCAATAAATACTCGATAAAACGATTTTTTTACTGTTGAAGCAACACACACATAATTATCGAGTTTTTTTACTATTGAACAACATAAATTAACAACAGTGACAGTAGGGTGAAATTGTTTGGCGTCACACATTTACTTTAGTCAATAATGTTCACCTATTCACGGTAGGTACATATTAATATGTCAACTGCTTATGTGGCATACACACATTAGTGATGTTAATAAGTTCAAAAAATACATCACAATGTGTACATGTCATATAAGCGATTGGCATATTAAAATGTGTCCACGTGGATAGGAAAGCATTACTCTTATGTTCGCTTAACTATATGATTAACCAGAGTAAAGAACCAGAGTAAAGACGCATCGATTACAATAAAGCCACAAACTTTCGTGCTTAATATGCATAGTTTTTTTTTTTTTTAATTAAATAAATAACTATAAATATTAATTAAAAAGTAAAATAATTATTATGAGAATTTTTTTAAATTTTAAAATAAAATCTTCTTTTTTTATTTTATTAATTATAAATTTCTTAATTACGCCACTAGCGCTACTATGTGTTTACTGATTAACTAACAAACATACATATTCATACGAGTATATGTCGATCTAAAGTTACCGGGAAATCGGAAATACACTTGCAGCCGATCACAGTGGAACCATGGGACATTTTTTATATAACATTCAGGATAGCTTGGTGGACCAGCCTAAGTGGTTAGCTCGGGTTAAACCGGTGCAAAAGGAGACTAGCTCGCAAATAAGCGGCTAGCCTAGTCAGGGAGCTTGCTCCGGCAACTCAAGGTAAACATAAGTCTAGTCGGAGAGAGCCGGAGGTCGAATTCTACCATAAGCTCATGACCTGGAGGTCCTAGTTACGATCTAATTTTGGAGCTCAAAATCAACATTCGTTCATGGTGATCTGGTTCAACAAATTTGCACATCAACTAGATCAACATGCATGTCCTCGTATTGTGTGTGATAGATAACCCAATAGACAAAATAAAATAATTGTGACCGGCCCTACACCCGACCACACCAAACCTTATGCGTCGCACCGAACAATTACTCAGCATGCCACCTAGGCATTTTCACCTTCCCTAGTCTCACCTCCACGCCAAAAATGACGAAAAATCAAAACCTCTTTCCCTCATATTCTGCAAACCTCTTTTATCTCTCACACTCTGTGTGTATATACATACATACATACATATATGTGTGTTGCCCTCATTATTTGCTTCACATTTATCCTCATCTCTTCCTCTCTACCGCCTCTTGTTATCTTTATCTCCATTTTCACATCATTTTTCGTTAGATAATCCCGATGTCTACCTCCACTCTCACCGGACTCTTGAACCATGTCGCCGAATTATACCCTTCCCGGCGAGCCATCGCCGTCTCCGGCAAGTTTGATCTCACTCATGCTCGCCTCCGACAGCTAGTCGAGGGCGCCGCCGCTCAACTGATCTCCGCCGGCGTTAGGCCCGGCGACGTCGTTGCGCTCACTTTCCCCAACACCGTTGAGGTATGCTTTCTTCGTATTGTAAATAAAATTGTGATTTTGATCTGAGCCCTCGATTTATTTCTTTCTGGGTCAGAATCAGATGCAGACTATAAACTAATCGAATTTGCCCTGTTTTGTGTTTGTTTTCGTTTCTCGTGGCGTGTGATTTTTGACCGATTTTTTATTTTATTTTGTGAATCAGTTTGTTGTGATGTTTTTGGCCGTGATACGCGTCCGAGCCACGGCGGCACCGCTGAACGCCGCCTATACTTTCGACGAGTTCGAGTTCTACCTGTCGGACTCGGAATCGAAGCTTCTACTCACCTCGAAAGAAGGCAACGAGCCGGCTCAAGCCGCGGCAGCAAAGCTCAGCATCCCCCACCTCTCCGCCAGCCTTCCCTCTGCCGACTCAGAAATCGTCCTGTTCCCAGTTCACTCCGAGTCGGACCCGGGCTCGCTGTCCAAACTCACCAACGACCCGTCCGACGTGGCTCTCTTCCTCCACACCTCCGGGACCACGAGCCGGCCCAAGGGGGTTCCCCTAACCCAGCAGAATCTCTACTCGTCCGTCCAAAACATAAAATCCGTGTACAAAATAACCGAATCAGACTCTACCGTGATTGTCCTGCCATTGTTCCACGTCCACGGATTGTTAGCTGGCCTTCTCAGCTCTCTCGGGTCCGGAGCTTCAGTGGCCCTGCCAGCTGCCGGGAGATTCTCCGCCTCGACCTTCTGGCCCGATATGAACAGGTACGGGGCCACATGGTACACAGCAGTGCCGACCATCCACCAGATCATACTCGACCGCCACCTCAGCAGGCCAGAGCCATCCTACCCTAAGCTCCGGTTCATCCGAAGCTGCAGCGCGTCCTTAGCCCCAGCGATAATGGCCCGTCTGGAAGAGGCCTTTCAGGCCCCGGTTTTGGAGGCATATGCCATGACAGAGGCCACTCATCTGATGGCATCCAACCCGTTGCCCGAGCACGGCCCACATAAGCCCGGGTCAGTGGGGAAGCCCGTTGGTCAGGAGATGGCGATTTTGGATGAGAGTGGGGTGGTGCAAGGAGCTAATTCCAATGGGGAGGTTTGCATAAGGGGCCCGAATGTGACACGAGGTTACAAGAATAACCCTGAGGCGAATAAGTCGGCTTTTCAGTTCGGCTGGTTTCATACAGGAGACTTGGGGTACTTTGATTCGGATGGGTATCTGCATCTTGTGGGCAGGATCAAGGAGTTGATCAATCGTGGAGGTAAATATTTTATTTATATAATTATTTATTTATTTTGTGATTTGTATTTCTTGTTTTCCCTGCTTGCGTTTTTTGGTGCTGATTATATGGTAGCATTAAAATTTGTATGCTGGTTTGGTGTGATTGGTGATGTGTATTTCAGTGTGGTAGCAAAGGATGTGGATCTTTCGGATTCTTAAGTTTGTTAATTTTTCGTGCATTTGATCTTATGTTGGTGGGATTTTTTCACATTTGAGGTGCTTTGGAACTCAGGTTAGGCAAAGAAAAATGGTGCAAGATTGCGAGTGTTTCTAGTACTAGATCTCTACTTCTACATATGACATCTTATATAGGTCAACTCCCTTGACAATTGAGGTTTAATATCAACACCATTGATGTGAGATTAGTGAGAAATAAAATGACTTGTTTCTATTGAGGTTAGTACCAAGATGACTGTAGTGAGATTAATGGAACAAAATGACTAAATAAACTCACTTTCTCATCCCATTAAGGTTCTCTCGAATTTTGAAGTTCGTGTAGTTCATTATACATGTGCTTTGCTTGAATTACAAGGTCAGCTTTTCTAGTATACAATGTGGCCCATTGCATGGAAGGTCACTTGCCCAGCTTTCAGAATTCGTCATTGGATATTCCCATCGGAGTTGAACGAACCTGTGTGGTTAAAAAAATGTCCATACGTCGTAAAGTTAACCTTTATTAAATATCCAGTCTTTAATTGATCTTGTGCTTTGTCCTTCTGTTGTAACAATATTTTTTGCCTAATAAATTGAAACTTATTTGTGTACATGATTGCACGGCTTCTTCTTAACTTTGCAATACCACAAAAAATTGCATTGATTTCGACATTTTGTTTGGCTTTCTTTGACATCAATGTTTCTTTTTCCTCCTTTTGCAGGAGAAAAAATTTCGCCAATTGAAGTAGATGCTGTTTTATTGTCCCATCCTGATATTGCTCAAGCTGTTGCTTTTGGTGTCCCTGATGATAAATATGGAGAAGAGGTACACGTCTCTCATACTCAGTCTCCTAATAACAATCACATGTTTTCTGGCTTTCAAACTGTATAGAAAGCAGTTACTTAACCAACCACTTGTAATGGAAATAAAAACACGAACTTTATATTAGAAAATGCTACAATCCCGTCACGGAACCTTATATCATGTGCATCTAACGATTACAAATTTCAACGGAATGGTTCCGTAACAGGACTGTAACCTTACCTATTTATGTTATGCCTCCAAATTAGAATTCAAAGCTATGAATTTTGAGGAGTTGCATTTGTAGTAAGTTTTTGCCAAAAATAATTTTTTTTTTTTTTTTTTTTTTTTTGTCATTTCCCTTTCACCAAGAAGCACCCCTTATTTTGTATGCTTTATGTGTGGGTCATGTTTTTTTTTCCATTGCACTCCATACAAATTTTATTCCCAATCAGTCACATGCAAACCCTAAATCAATCTCCTATCAAAAATGTATTTTAAGTCTTTAACTTTGTTGTTCCTAGGTTCTTCACCTTTAAAAACTATTCTTGATGTTTGATAGTAATTTGCAATAATTAAATAAATAAAACATTTATCTCTAGGAATTAAAATTACCCTTTTGATGATGTATCACCTTATTATTTATCAAATTTGAGGTGACAGTTTGGCAAATCGATTATGTTTTTTTTTTTCAAAGTAATTGGACTAAACACTCATTTTTATTTTTTTTTTGGGTACTGTGTGTTTAGATAAATTGTGCTGTTATTCCTCGGGATGGATCAAACCTCGACGAGGCAGAGGTTTCGAGGTTCTGCATGAAAAACCTTGCGGCTTTTAAGGTCCCAAAGAAGGTTTTCATTACAGACTCGCTCCCAAAAACAGCCACAGGGAAAATTCAGCGGCGTATTGTGGCCGAGCATTTTCTTGCACAGATATCTACAGCTAAGGTCCCCAAGTTCGGAGCCTAAGAATATATACCTTCGAATTTGCGTAAGGGAAAGGGGAAACAATGAAAAATTCAGTTGTATCGGTTATCTAATAGGTTTTAATCTCTAAACAATATTTATGAGCTTCTTCCTTAGTGATGGAAAAGCTGTGTAGCCAGTTTATGAGCATTACAAATTTGACAGCTATTATCATTCAATCATATTAAATAAACAAGGCATTATTATGGTTGGGTTGCATTGTTTGTTAATTCGACATCGAAGAACATGAAACAATTGACGAAACATTACAAACGACATTAGAAGATTCTTGTACATGTGGTAAACAATACATATTTCTTTCAAATAAAACGGAAAAGAAACAGGCATTCTTTCTATTATCATGATCATTATTATTTCAGAAAGCACGGGCTTTAATGA